ACATCAGACAGATTAACAGGAAAAAAAGAAACAAATTTAATGCATATGTATGGCAGTCTTATAGAAATGAGACCCCTAAAGTGACCATAGCAGGCTGTTTATATAGTATTTTTAGACAAAGAAACAATTATTTGTAAAGATTGGACAAAAAAAGCGGTGGGGGGGAGTTCGTATTTGGGGTAGCAGACTAATGAAGAAGTAACACAGTTTGTTTATACAGCTTTCTCAGCTTTGAATTCCCTAACTCTGGTGATAAGGATGCTTTTTATCCTCCTGGCACAGAGAGGATACTTTCATATGTAAGATTTATTTCCTGCTTTCAAGAGAGAAGAGTGGGGGTAAGAATGTCTTTATTTGTATAGGCTGTTTCTTAAGCAACTTCAATTCAAAATAATTAATATGCCACTGTGGCATATTTTGGGGTGGCCTATCTTGAGCCCCAACACTATCTACTAGATCATGTCTTCTGCAAATAGAGATAGTTTTACTTCTTTCTTTCCAATCTTAGTTTTATTTCATTTTCTTGCCTTGGCTAGAACTTCTGGTACAAAGTTAAATAAAAGTGGTGAGAGAGAAAATTCTTGTCTTATTCCTGATCCTCAAGGGAAAGCTTTCAGTCTTCAACTGTTTGTATGATGTTAGTTGTGGGAGTTTTGCAGATGCCCTTTATTAGGTTGAGGAAGTCTCTTCCATTTGTAGTGCTTTGAGTGTTTCTGTCATGAAGAAGTGTTGAATTTTATCAAACGTTTTTCTGCATCTATTGAGAAGATCATGTGGTTTTTGTCCTTTATTCTGGTGACATGGTGTATTATAATACAATTGACACTTGAACAATGCTGAGGCCCTGACCCCTCCACAGTCAAAAGTTCACATATAACTTTTGACTCCCCCCAAACTTAACTACAGTCATTCCTAGGTATCCACAGGAGATTGGTTCCAGGATCCCAACACAGACCCCAAATCCACAAATGCTCAAGTCCCATATATAAAATGGCTAGAGCACTGCATACAGCTGGCCCTCCACATCCATGGATTCCCAATTGTGGATCTAAAATACTGTTTTCAGTCCGCAGTTGGTTGAATCTGCAGATGCAAAACCTAGGGATATAGAAGGTCAACTGTACATTTATTGAAAAATATAAACGTGGACCCATGCAGTTCAAACCTATATTGTTCAAGAATTGACTGTAATTGATTTAAAAACATTGTTCTGACAACCTGTTCTGCCCCATATATAAGCAAGAGCTAAATGCGAAGCAGTGCTTGTCAGTGCCCTCTCATTATGCCTGGACAGGGATGCTGAGCTGTCTTAGAAATTTTGCTCTAACTGAAAGAAGCTTTCAACTCTTTAAAACTTTGGTTATTGCATCCTCTTCTCAATAATTTTTGGTTCACAGTTGGTGTACATGTAGCCAGTAATGTTCTGCCACTTTCCATACTTGGGAATTGCTTTGTCAATTCTTGTTTTAAATGAGTCAAGACATTTCCATTACTTCTTTTCAGAGACTGCTCTACCAATGAAATTGTTTACTTTATTGCACTACATCTTATTTTTCTCCATCTTCAGATTTATTGTGGCTCTCAGCTGTTCATCACCTTATTCTTTCCACTGGACCATCTGCAGTGTTTCCCCTTCTGTTGGACCCTGGTAATAACCACGCCCCAGTTATTTTCTTCAGCAAGAGAGAACGTGGAAAAGTCCCGTCTTCTGATATTTTTGTTATTCTTGAATTGCCACTTATTGAGCTCTGCCAGCAGGCTGGATGATTTTATAGGACAGAAACACACACTCATTGCCCAAGTATCTTGCAATCTGATTTAATACCAGGCAACCAATGCAGACATAGACTCATTAATGGCATTGTGAGAGGTATTAGTTGAGTGACACAGGCATGAAGCTTTTGGCTTCTAACAACAGATCATTTCGTGCCAATTCCTAGGTTTAGGAATGAAAGAAGCAGCAATCTGTTTCTGAGCAATGCTTTCACACATAGCAGGTCCATCCTCCACTTCAAAAGTAGAAACTAGCCTCCAGGAAGACAGGTGGTGTTTCAGCCTTGTCAATATCTGAGAAAACAAGTCAGATTTCCACTCACTCTTGCCTATGCCTTAAGGCTCCCCACTTCACCCTATTATCTCATTCTTAATAGGTAGCTTCATCAACCTGATTCCACAAACACTACAAGGCTCTAAAGTCTAGGTTAAAGCTGCAACAGCCCAATCCCTTCCATAGCATGGCATAGGGCAATGTCTGCAACAAGCAGAAGGCCTAGTCCTCACCCTTAGGAACGAATGATCCAAGTTAAAAATCACGTACAAATATTTGAGTCTTCGAAATGTGTACTGCTTTCCCAAACAAATTTTTGACTTGCTTTAGTTTTTTTCCCGATCTCTTTCATCCTGTCTTTCCAAGGTGGGATGATATCTTTGTTTAGAAATTATTTCACCTGGGATAATGGTGCCATCAGCCCAGCTTGTTCTTCAAGGGACCCTCTGGACATGGAACCAGCTGTCCATGTTGGTGGGGCACCAAGAAGGGAGCCCTGAGTGGGAGTGAAACCCAGCCACTCCCTTGCATTGGTCCCCTCTTAACCCCTAATCTCCAGTTGGCAGCTGGCCCAAAGGTGTTACCTCTCCCAGGTGAGACATCCTGCCCTTCCACTTGAGTGAGAGGGGAAGGAGCGCCAAGAGTTTTCAAAGGATTCGAACATTATGGGTCACCTAGAGAAACAGTGCAAGTGAGGTGACATTGTAATTTTACATTTCTCCTCATTCAGCACAGGATTTATTTTAAGCTATGGGTCTGAGAGCCAACTTGTCTGCTCTTTGGTTTCCTTATACTCTGGTCTCCTTTCTGTGTGATAGTCTCATTTCAATCTGCCCACTAGGAAGCGAAGCAAAACAAAACAAAACAAAACAAAAAGTTCTATTGTTTAAAAGGAACAAATGAATGCTTAGGTCAAAAGCCTACATTTGAGGCTATTTATGAAAGTGAAGTCTGAGTCTAAAAAGCCCCCAACTCCCACCATATCCTTACTCCATTTCACAATAAACCCTATGGGGACACCGAGAACTGAGAGTTGAACCCAGTATGGCTACCAAGGTGTAATTATTTTAAACAGTTATCAATTCTAACTAACTCTTGAACTCTCAGATACTACACACTAATTTTCATCTGCTTGATTGAGTGTCTGCATGAGAACTAAAAATCTTAATCCCACACTTATGAATAAGATTCTCTGTTCACTAAGCAGGGCCTCTGGCAGTAAAAGAAAATTTGGGCTTTCCCTAGCAGCCTTTATTATTTAACGTGCATTCACTCTGAAGGTAACCAGGAAATTAAGGCATGTTTTTTTTCAGACTTGATATTTCAGGGCATTGAACTCACTTTTGCTTCATTTTCCTTCTGGCAGATCTGAAGATCATTTAACAAGGTAGAACAACTCATTGACCTACTTGACTTGCCCCCCAGGCATGCTTCAAACAAAGACTTCCTATTCTGAAGAACTGCAATGGAACTCCCTGGGGAAAAACACCTATTTTAGTTAGCATACACTAGAGTCACTGGGAATCAGTTAGCACATTACAATTCTTTAAAATTTGGAAGGATTTTGGAATTACTATTGTCTTCCTGGTAAATTACTGGGTCCTATTGGTGAGTTGGAACAAAGCAGCACATTTTAAATGTAAGTTTCCATAAAAGTGTAACTCAACTTCCCCAGCTCCTAGGGGATTTTCACTGGCCCCGACTCAGGAAGAATTTTCATCTGTGGCATCCAAGTCTTCAGAGACCAAACATTTCCTGAAGACTTTCCTCTGCTTTCTGACCTCCACCTTCCTCCTCCCTAAGGTATACAAAGAACCTATTTCTAATCAGTGCAGGAAGCCAAGAGTGCCCAGTGGGCCTAAGGTGCTAGAAAGGGAACAGGAATCCAAGATTCTTTCTTGGCATCATGATACCACTGAGTTGCCCAATGGCTTGAGTATGTTAACCCCTTGCTTTAAGGCTGGAATTTTAATTACCCACTCCTGGAGCTTTTCTGAATTGATTTTGTACATGGTGTTTTTTCATATTCCAGAAATTAACTATCTTTAAAAGAAGGGATGGTTAGCAATAAAGGCAGCCAAGAGCACTAAATGATTAGACTCTGGCACATTCAGAGGTTTTGAAACTCATTAACTCAGTTCTGCTGCCTCTCCCCCATAGCTTGTTAAAACCTGAACTGGGTGCGTGGGGTTAGTGGTTCGGGGATAGAATTTTGGAGCCATCATTAGGAGATGTCCTGGCCTGTTGTACAGAACCCAGTCACTCCAGTTGGCCAGGAGCAGGGAGAGCTGGCAGAGTGATGATGCCAGGCCCTTTCCCTGCCACTGACCAATCCTATCTTCCGCATCCCTCCAAAGTTCCCTGGGGACCTAAGGTCACTTTCTCCCACTTCACAAAACGGCAGTCTTCGCCCATAATTTCGAGTCTTGTCTGAACTAGACTTTCTCAGCACCTTTATGGTAGATTCTTGTTTCCTTTTCGTGCTGACATTCTACGGCCCTCCTCATCCCGGGGCCTGGTCCCTGGTCAGTGGACGCTCTGTTAATACGAATTCGTACTGGTAAGGTGTTCTGGGTACTGCCAAGACAGCTCCTGGCACTCGCCACCAATTCTCACCACTTTTTCTTCGTTGTCGTCATCGGTGACCCCAAGTTCACGGTATAGAACCCCTGCCGTGCCTCCCTTTCCCCCCTGGAGATTCTCTCTTCCCTTCCACATCCTTCCACCAAACCCCCCAAGCTCCCCGTAGTTCTGAGCCTGCGGCTCCGGACTCCTGGAGTCCGATCCCCTCTTGGCTTGCAGAAAAACCGAATGGAGCCAGGTGGCAGCAGGCAAGGCGCACCGCTAAGGTGCCCAGCTCCCGGGGCTGCCTGCAGGGTGGGGCCGCACTCAAGGCCGCTCCCTCTCCGCCCTTTCCCCATCCCCAAAGAGGACAACCCTCCTTCCGCCCGCCGCGGCGCCGCCTCCCCCGTCGCCCGCCCGCCCGCGCTGGCCGCGAGCCTTCCAAGCAGCCAGAGAGCGAGAGGAGCGCTCGGGGATGGGACTTGGAGGCGGCGGCCGAGGAGGAGACAGCGGCAGCGGCGCGGGCTTCTTGCTCAGCTCCCACGAGCGATCCCCGAGGGTACCCGTGGCTCTCGACGAAGCGAGGAGGCCCACGAGAAAGACCCGGGTGGCCGCGCCTCTGTCTCGCTTCCCCGGCGCCGGCGGCTGCAGGTGAGCGGGGCGCGCTTTCCCCGGGACTCCGCACGGCCCCGCTGCCCTGGGGCGCAGATAGACGGACCAACCAGCTGACGGACAGGCAAAAACTGGGCTGACCGACGCCCGCGGGCGCTGACCCCCCGGCCCCTGCGGCTCCGCGCGACCCCGAACGCCTGGCGCCCCCTCCCCTCCCGGGGCCCATCGCTCCGACCCCTCCCGACAGAGCGCGACAGGGAGGGCCGCGCTGCCCGGACCCCTGGCCGGGAGAAGTGAGGCCACCCCCGGCCCCGCGAGCGGGGCGCGCTCCCTGAGCGGGGCGCACTGCAAAGCGGCCACGTCCGAGTGCCCCGTGGGGGCGCTGTGCCCCGCCGCGGGGACGCCCAGACTTACTCTCCATGGACCGGGGACAGGGAGACTTGTTGAGCAGGTATCCAGTGGATCGCTATTCAGCTCACAAGCCAGATGGATGCCAGTTCTCACCCCTCAGGCCTTGGTCAGCTGGTATTTGAATGCCCGTGTCGTCTGGATTTTGTTGTTGGTTCTCTGTGGCAGCTTAAGCTCCAGCCTCCCTACCTATGGAGAAAGGAGAGAAAGGGGAGGACATTTTATAGTAGTTGCTAGAAAGCCCAAGGACATTTTGGGGACAGGACAGAAAAATGGAGACCCTTTCTGGTTAAGGTCTCTAGGACTGGAAGCTCAGGGAGGAAGCTTCTCAGGATCACGAACTCTTACCCTGCAGAAACCCAGATGACCAAATTTCCAGTTGCCATAAATCGGGGAGGGTGCATCTGCACCACGTGCGTTTAATCGGCCTTCCGGGAGTGGGACAATCAGGACACAATCAAGAGGCTGCAGGGGGCTGAGGCCAAGAGCAGCAACTCTGGGGTTGGCCCGCCTAGCTTGCCTAGGTTAGTAAACTACTCTATCCCCTCAGCTTCCTTATCTGTCTAATGCTATGATAATTCCTACAGGGCTGTGAGGATTGTTAAAGTCCTTAGAACGGTTCCAGGTGCATCCTAAGGATAGATAGTGAGTTCCATCACCTGTCTTTCCAGAAAAAGCAAGGCATTCTTATGAGTAGTCACCTCCTCCCCAACTCATGAAGATAACCTCTCAGTGGATACATGAAGGTGGCAGATAATCTGCGTATATTTAAATGGAATTTTCCACAGTTCTCTCTGCCTGCTTTCAAAGAGACAGCCTCATAAAACCATGTCGAGATAGCAAGATGGGTTTATGATCTGCAAAGTTTACTTTCAGCCCCTGGTACTTGATTCCTTAGAATCCTCCACTGAGGAAGCAGAGACCTGTGGCTCTTCACCTTCTACTTCCCTATCTGTTTATACTTTTATTCCTGCCAGTAAAATTCAGTCTCAACCCCTCCCCGCTCTTTCCCAGTTTGCTAGGCCTCTCTTTTCTACAAATCAGGGCTATAAGTTTCCTTGCTTCTAGAGTCCAGGCCTAGGCAAACTAGAGTTACTGAGGCCTGAGCTCAATCACTGGAGATGCTATAGTAGAGTCCACTTCTGAGACACCCTCAGGTGGTTGTCCTACCTGAAGCTCTTATCAGCCAATACCATATATCTCTGTCAGGTAAAGGTAGTTGAAATGAGGCCCAAGATTTAAAGAAAAGGAAATAAATGATTGTTCCTCGAATGACAGAGAAGAATAAGACAGTCATTGGAGGTTCTAGGAGGAAATCCCATGGTTTGCCAAGAAACAGCTCTGACTGGTGTCTAAGAGAAAGCATGAGGTGAGGAGGGGGTGGGGATGGAGAAAGGGATAGAGACAGGCTCAGGTCTCAGGACAAGCAGGCAGAAGAGCGTGTGGTGGGTGTAAATGCTGGCCTGGGTAAGGTGGTGGGCATGAAGCTGGGTGGGCAGTGAGAGAGGACATCTGAGGGGGGTGAGCAGTTGAGTTTGAGACCAGTCAAGTAGGCGAGAGAGTCTCCAGTGCTTTCCCTGGGACTTGCTGCCTCTGATCTGTGGCATGTGCATGGTGGAGAGAGCACTTTCCTGCAACTCCTCATAGTTAGGGAAGCTCAGAAGGGCTCCCCTTATTTAATGTGCATCTGGGAATAACTGAGGGGGGTCAGGGGAAGAGGAGGGCTGAAGTGCCAAGTCGAGAGTAGAGCATGTCATCACTGTTGCTAGTAAACAGTGCCAGGGAACCACTTCCAAGGGACCAGTTGCCACTTGGAGCTCCAGCCCGTGAGATCATCTCTGAACCATGCCATGTGCCTCGGCAGACAGCCACCACTGCCTTACCCAGCAAGACCATGACGGGGACTCAGAGAGAAAGGCAGTGCTGGGCTTGATTCCAGAGGCTTCAGCTGTTGTCAGTAATAGGTGATCGTCAGGACGGCAGTGATGAGCGCTGGGGATACAACCCAGAGCACACTCAGTGACTTTGGAACCTGAAGAACCTGGATTCCAGTCTCAGCCCTGCCACTCACCACCTGGAAAGATTTTGAAGAGTTACTTAAACTCTCTGTGCCTCAGTTTCCTCATTTATAAATGGGGAACAGGATTGTTGGAAGAATTAAACTGGTTAATACACATGAAGTGCCCAGCTCAGTATAAGTGCTCAATATTATCTGAGCCCCAGCTGTATTGTCCATCAAATGAGCATGATACTATCTATGCCGTAGGGTTGTTGTAAAGGTTAAATGAGATAATTAATGTGTATGAATCCACCAGTGTGTAGGATATAGTAATGTTCAAAGTTTGTTGAAACTGAAATTTTTACCAAAGTATCTGCACATAGTCAGTGGCTGAGCAAGTGGACCAGCTAGCATTTGGGAAAGTTCTAAGGCTTTTGTTACAGGAATTGTTATCTACCATTGGGGAGTGTGGCTCACCCCTCATTGGAATCCCCCATTGCAATTTTAGGTTATTATATTAGTTTCTTATGGCTGCTGTAACAAATTACCACAAACTTAGTGCTTAAAAACAGCAAAAATTTATTATCTTAAAGTTCTGGAGGTCAGAAGTCTTAAATGTCTCACTGGGCTAAAATCAAGGTGTTGGCAAGGCTGCATTACTTCTGGAGGCTCTAGGGAGAAATCTGTTCCCTTGCCTTTTCTGGCTTCCAAAAGCTTCCTATGTTTTTTGGCTCCTAATCTCTTCTTCTGTCTTTCAGTCTCCCCCTCCCTATCTTCCCTTTCCCCTCTGCCTCCCCCTTCCCTCCTTCCCTTCCTCCCTGCTCCCTCCTCTCCCCTGCCCCTTCTTCTCCCTCTTATAAAGACCCTTGTGATTATATTGGGCCCACTTAGATAATTTAAGCTGATATCCCCATCTCAAGATTCTTAATTTAATCATACCGACAAAGTCCCTTTTGCCACATAAGTTAACATAGTTGCCTACCCATATCTCAGTTGTTCTAACTCAATCCAACCAGCAGAGAGTAAGAGGTACTGTATGGAGCCACTGGGCTAGAATGGAGGGTTAATGATTGTGTGTGTGTGTGTGTGTGTGTGTGTGTGTGTGTGTGTGTGTGTGTGTTGGGGGTGAGGTATTGTTGGGGCAGCTGGGGGGAGTTGCTGAGGTTAGCATTGTAACACAGGGCCAGATTATGGGGCTTTGACTGCTAAGCTAAGGAATCTAGATTTTATCCTAATGGTATGTGGAAGTCACTGACAGTTTTTGAGCAAGAGCATGAGAAACATGATATTGTGTTTGGAAGACTGAATTCAGTGCTAGTGCCAGATGGATTCAATAGAAGGGGCTTAGAAACAGTCTATTAATTAGGATTGTGTTCAATTCCAAGTTACAGAAAAAACTGAAATGATAGTGGCTTCACAAAAGAAGTTTATTTCTGTTTGGTATTCTAGCAGTTGGAGGCAGTGAATCCAAAGTGAGAGTGGCCAGGACCCACACTTCTGTCTCATTGCTCTTCCCATGCAGCATGGCTTCCACTTCCATGGTGCCTCATGGTGTAGAATGGCTTCTGGGGCTCCAGCCTGCATGCCCTCATTCCAGCCAGCAGGAGGGAAAAGGCAAGGATCCTCCCATCATAGGAGACAGCCGTTGGGGTCTCCTACATTCAGGCGAATATAGTATATAGAGGAAGATCTTGGCTCAGCCTTAGCAGTTGTCTGGTGCAGAAATAGGGCCAGTTTGAGTTAACATTTATTGATCTTTCGTTGATCAATAAATGTGTTCATTCAACATTTATCTATTTTCTAAAAATTTACTTACAAAATTCAGCACCGAGCACGTGGGGGCGGAGATACAGAAATGACAAGGTGTGGTCCCAAGGTTCGTTCGCAGTCTAGGCAGGGAGACATACGGTAGCAAGAAAAAGGGACCAAGTGCTAGAGCAGGTAAGAAACCCACTGTCAAGGGTGAGTAGAAAAGTCAATCTTCATTGGGAAAATCGGAGAACATTTTAGAGAGTGGGTGACGTGAGCTGAGGCTTGAGGAGTGAAGACAATTTTGATCAATATAGAATGTAGACCTTCCAGGCTAGGGGACCAGCATGTGTGAATGTACTCAGCTATGACAGGAACCTGAGTTCTTCAGGCACGGCTGGGGGGTCTGCCATAGTTGGAGGGGTGGGCAGTGGGCCATCATGGAGAGCCTTGAATATTAACATGTTGGTTCTGAACAGAGAAGGATGGGACCAGTAGATGAAGGACCCTCGGCAGGAAGAGCAGTTCTAAATCTCCTGCGAGCTTCTGGGGGGAAAACGGAAAGAATGGAGCATCACTGCAGCGGTCAGTGGTGGGGACAATCAGGAGTGCTGGACAGGGCAGCCATAATCCAGAGTTTGTCCCCTCATGAATGTGATGGTGATGTGAGGAAGATGTGGAAGCTGCCTGTAAATTCCCAGTCCGGGTGGCTGCACAGGCGGGGTCACCTTAACAGTGAAAGTACTTTAGTGGAAGAAGGTGACTTTATATCTGGAAAGGGTGGGCTGGCAAGCAGGCCTTTACTATTGGGTGACAATCACAGACAGGCAATGTCAGGTAGACATCAAGGAGAGTGCAGCCTAAAATTTAGAGCTACCTGAAA